TCAGGTATAACCAGCAGGCAACGAACTTCAAGCAAAACGCCAATCCCAACGACTACAAATACGAACTAACCAAAACCAAGCCGAGTACCACCTATCCAGGTACTAAAACCGAGAACTACCCCAGTAACAACCCGCAGTATTTCGACAAAAAACCCACTACCCCCGTAAAACAAACTGAAACCTTCCCCACAACCCTGAGTACTAAACCCAAGCCTTTCAGCGCCAATACCCAGACTTTCCCCACGACGTTCGCGCCAAGAACCAACGCTGCGTATACCCAGATTGCCCAGCAGACATTGAAGCAGCAAAGCAGTACCTTGATTGCCACCGAATTCGTGCAGACGAAGGCTAGTACCACTTCTAAGGCTGTGACGTCAACGCCTTACACGCCAACGGTACCGAAGATTAGCCCTACTACTCCTATCGCTAGGTGAGTGTCAATGATTGTACTGAAGAATATACCTGGTGTTTCAAATGCGGACAAAGTTGCGCATATAGGTAACAAGAAAATGGCACGTAGGCCTGGTTTTTCAATCGCAAGTTACCTGCAACATGACTACTAACCAGAAGCTCGGTTGAATCTGTCACTCTCTGCCGTCCGTGCGTGTATTTATTTTTCAATCGACGAATCCAGAAGCGTTCTCGCGTTTTCCAGACATAACTCGAGTCATCACATCGAAGCTGGTAAATGACGGTCGATATTTATCGTTAAAAGTCTAATTTATTACCGTCACACTGATTTATTACAGCACTTTGCACGTAATTTTTGTAAATTTATGACTACGTCGACTGGGACTATGATGTTTCGCGCTGATAACTCGCTACTTGGTTCATCTGGCTCTCTCTGCCCTCTGTGCGTGTATTTATTTTTGAATCGACGAATCCAGAATCGTTCTCGCGTTTTCCAGACATAACTCGACCCTTCGCATCGAAGCTGGTAGATGACAGTCGATATTTCTCGGTACGTGGCGAATGTTTTTGATGCTTGTGTAAGAAGCTTCTAACGTCCAAAATTTGTAGTCGGCCATATATCTTGTTTAACTAAAACAATGTTTTATCGTTAAAGGTCTAATTTATTACCGTCACACTGATTTATTACAGCACTTGCATGTATTTTTTGTAAATTTATGACTACGGCGCCTGGAGTACGATGTTTCGCGCTGATAACTCGCTACTCGGTTCATCTGGCTCTCCCTGCCCTCTGTGCGTGCATTTATTTTTGAATCGAGAAATCTAGAAGCGTTCCTGCGTTTTCAAGACAGAACTGGAGCCTTCATATCGAAGCTGGTAGATGGCGGTCAATATTTTTCGATATGTGGCAAATGTTTTGATGCTTGTGTAAGAAGCTTCTGAACGGCCAATATTTGTTAGCTTGGTCATATATCTTGTGTAATGAAAAACAACGTTTTTATCTTTTAAAGTCTAATTTTATTACCGTAACACTGATTTATTACAGCACTTGCATGTATTTTTTGTAAATTTATGACTACGCCGACTGGACTACGATGTTTCGCGCTGATAATTCGCTACTCGGTTCATCTTGCTCCCTCTGCCCTCTGTGCGGGTATTTATTTTTGAATCGACGAATTCAGAAGCGTTCCTGCGTTTTCCAGACAGAACTCGAGTCTTCACATCGAAGCTGGAAGATGGCGGTCGATATATCTCGATACGTGGCGATTTTTTTGATGGTTGTGAAAGGAGCTTGTAAATGTCCAATATTTGTAGCATGGCCATAAATGTTGTGTTACGAAAACGTTTTTATCGCTTAAAGTCAAATTTATTACAACACTTTTTATAAATTTAAGACTATTTCGACTAGATTATGGTGTTCCGCGCTACTCGGTTGATCTGCCTGTCTCTGTCCCATGTGCGTGTATTTATTTTTGAATCGACGCATCCAGAAGCGTTCCCGCATTTTCCAAGCAAAGCTCGGGCCTTCACATCGAAGCTTGTAAATGGCGGTCGATATTTCTCGAATGTGGCGATGCTCTTGATGTTTGTTTGCGTAATTCTGGTTGCCTAACCTTCGATGTTACGAGGGTGTCTCACTGTTACTCTAAGTTCACTGGGATATATCGGCAATGTGCAGACATGTACATGTCAGACTTTCTCGCCTGAAGGACTACAAATTAGGCAAGAATCATTACATTAATGATTCCATTAATTTGGCAATCTGTCAGCAATACATAGAAATAGGTCGGAAATATCAAAAAGTATTGCCGAGGCAGAAAAATGTTGCTCGTTTTGACGCGTTATATCGTACATTTGTCATTTTTACTTGAATCCTAGGGATACTAATGAAATAAAGGTCAAACACAGTGTAGCGTTTTTCTGGGTTCTTTTGGGTGTGGATTAAAACACTGGTTTTCACAAAAAGAAATGCACTAATTTATTAAACTTGACTAGATAGAACATCAATGTCCACCACTATTTATGTCTGACTACTTATTTACGAATTACCATGTCGCGCCATTCACTGTACTATACTCTACTGTGCTTCCATCTTCCGGCCGTCGAGTCATATAGTCCGCATCGCAGCGACTCGTTGAATCGAGAAGGTTCCGGTGAGCCACATAGCGGCATTCCAGAATATTCGAGGTCACTTCGGTCCATCTCGAAGAAAAGTCGAGAGTTTTGCGGTCCCCAACAGATGTCGCCACCAAGTTGCATGTTGTCAGTTATAAAAAAAACAAAAAAGCACCGAAGGTTAATATAGGAAAAATTAGAAATGTTAAAAAAGAAAAAACAATTTCCTTAATAGCCCTAAGAAATTATCAGATGATAATTTCATTGTCAGCCAAGCGTTTTTTCCAGTGTTTATGAAATGGGCACAGCTGAACAATTCCTGAATTTCGTATGTTACAGGTTTCCGAGACCTCATGGTAAGGGTCGTACTTGAAATACCCGGTATATTGGTAAAGTGCATATTCTAGAGAATAACTGATCCGTATACAATTGGCGTTTTTCTAATCTTTTATGTTTGTCTGAATGTAGGGCACCGTTTGTTTATAAGGAACCTTCCAAAAAGAATATTGAACATTAGATTTTTGGCAGGTAAGATGCAATCAAAAAAAAGTCACCACTCTTCATTCCATCAGTGACTGGTAGTGAAAACTGAACCCGAAAATCATTCCAAAATATCCTTCCTTACAAGGTTAGAACTATGGAGCATGGACCCAGTTTCATATAGAATTTTATCGTCGAATGTATATGCATGGAATCATGGGCAACTGGGATCAGATCAATTTTTTCATAGGTTTCAGGTCTCATTGAAGGATAAATTATTACCGAAATAATCCTATTCATCATGAATTAATTGCAAAAGCATGTCCATGGAGAATTTGTACCCGAATCCACATATTTTTATACCATCTTTTAACATATAGTCAAAATCACGAAAGATGACTATTACGTCATACCATAAATTGTACTGAAGTAATCAATGGACGTACGTCGATGATAAAATCACGAGTCAGAAACATAATGACAACAAATTTATATTATGATTTTTCGAAGTTAGGTTATTTCAATGATTATTTTTATTTTCATTTTATTTCATGGTTTTGAGTGATACCTTAATAATAATTTTAGTGGGGAGTTTTTGTTTGGAAAAAAAAAACAGTTATGAGTAGAATACCTTAAGACAGGAACACCAAAGACCAAAGTATTATTCGAAAACAACATGACCTTCTTTAACATAACCTAACTATTCATCTTTCAAATATGATCGATCATGCAACATGAAAATATCGTCTATCTTTGTCGGATACTTGCAAATTAGCAATACAATTTGTTTAGACAATAAAATTCTGTTTGTGTCTGTCTAACATATCAGAAACTTCATTATAGTCAAAATCACCAATGATGACTATTACATCATACCATAATTGTACTGAAGTAATCAATGGACGTACGTCGATGATGAAATCACGATTTCAGGAACATAATGTCAACGAATTTGTATTATGATTTTGCGAAGTTAGGTTATTTCACTGATTATTTTTATTTTCATTTTATTTCATGGCATTGAGTGATACCGTAATAATAATTTTAGTGAGGAGTTTTTGTTTTGAGTAGAATACCTTAAGACAGGAACACCAAAGACCAAAGTATCAGTCGAAAACAACCTAACCTGCTTTAACATAACCTAACTATTCATCTTTCAAATATGATCGATCATGCAACATGAAAACATCGTCTATCTTTGTCCGATA